CAACTGGTCTCACTCAAAAATATTAAGTTTTGAGTCTTCAAGTTCTTGATACAAGATTATGGTGCAAAAAGAGCATTGCTGACAAAATATTGCATGCATTTTAAAACGGTCTTATCTCCTTCAAAACTCAATGAAAATGGGTGATTCTTTTTCTGGAAGTTAGCCTTATGTGTTAGCTTTAAAATAAAGTTAAAATCACTGAAAAATAATGAGTTTAGACCCCCCCCCCCAAATGGCCTTCACTCGACGAGTGTGTAATCTGTCTTGGGGACTGTGTCACTCAAAGTTGTAGGGTAATGATGAGTGCCTTAAACCCGTCCAAAATTCTTGATATTTGGGAAAAATATGTTTAACTCATTATTATTGATGATATAAAAATTTAGACACAAAATAACTTTTGGAAGATTCCTTTTGACAGTGATTTCTGAGACCAAAAATTCCAGAAACAGAATGTACATTATGTCCAAATGGCTTTATGTGCAAAGGACCTTGATTGTTTTTTAAAATGTATAATTTATGGACTATTTTTAGAGCAAAKATTATAAGTATCAACTTTAATTCATAAAAACTCATTGGCAATACATAAGATATAATTTGACWTTATCTTTATCAAGACCCGATAGGTGATCTAATTATTGGATTTCGGACTGTTTAGGAAGGTTWGGGCGGACGTTTAGCGCTTCAAACATCACCAAGTTTTTGGATATTCATCAGCAAACTTGTGAGTATTCATGGCCCTACTTTTAATGCTTTTTGTTTATTTAAATTGGGGGAAAAGCATGAAGTTATGCAAACTATACTGTTTACATGTAAAACTGTTGGACTAAAAAACTGTTTAGTCAAGATTTGTTGAAGTCATGAAAAATTGACTGTATTGCACTATGGTATAAATGGTAAATTGATGTACTTGAGACGATATGTTTTAAAAAAGACCCCTCCCGTAAATGCTACTAGTTAACTCGGGCACGTTCCCTGGCCGTGGTAATTATGGATAGCCGCTATTGTGTTGACAGTCCCACCCAAAAATGGGTGCACATTACCTATGTTTAATAGTCTACTCATGTGTGCGAACAGGCCACCGCTGAAGTAGTACTGATACGAACCGTGGTACCTAAGTAAGCGCGGGCCACTTTATGGTAGTTCGTAAAATAATGGGGCACATTGGTCAGGAAAGGCTCAGTAGCATCTCAAGTTTTAAACATCGTTATAGATTTACATTTATCGTGTGCAAGTTTATATATTAGTTTGCAAGAATTGATTTATGCACTGTAAATATTTTTGTGCATATGAAAACCCGTGAACTCACCAACTCTTTGTAGTTGACGTTGTTTTATGTTTCATGCTTTTCAGGAAATAAGTAAGAAATGAAGTTTTGGAGCATATATGTGATGAAACCGATTAAGTTCATTTTGAAACTTTTGTAAAGAATTATTCTATTCCAACTTGGTTATGGATGTTAAATTTGAATTTTGTAAACTTGAATGGTGTTATTTAATATCTGCTATTGTGACTCGCTTACCTGTTACATCTCATGTTTCCGCTTTAACGGGGTGTTACATCTTCTAAGTCAAATCATGAAGTCCCTTCTTCTTCCATATATGCCATGAAACATGACCTTTCATAATGTTCATCTAAAGATGTTGGGTCAGCAGACTCGGTGTTCCCTCGGCAGGTCAAATCCTCGTCCTTAAACC